TTCCTTGGAGCTTGCGTTTGGGTCGCCGATAACGATCTTGCATGTTTCAAAACATTTTATTTGTCTCCGCGTTTCGAAACAAAAGCGACAAGACCCACCGCGAGCACGTTTCACATCAATTACTCCTTACGCCGCATTTCGTCCCCGATGATCGACGACCGTATTTTCTTTCTTCGGCTGTTCGTCCTTAAAATCGCATTTACGTCTATCGCAAAGGAACCGATGTGGTCTCCCCATTTCGAGCAGCAGCTCAGCGGTAAATCCAAATCTCTGTATGCCTGTTGTTCAAAAGCCGTAAACGTCACACAATGCGCCCGTCGTTTCGCTGGCCTCCCTCCTTCCCAAAACGAGCTTTGTTGGCTTCGTCGTTAGGGCGGTTAGGGCACAGTACGGTCAATTCCCCCTGCCGCGGCCGTGCCCATGGTCACCCAACCTTTGAGAATCCGCCAGATTCAGCGAAAGTTTACTATTTTGTGATTGGCCGTCCGTCGATCGGGCAGGGCGCCGGCGTTCCCGGTCTCCCGCCGGTGCCGGGGACGTTGAACATTCTCGTTCGGCGCATTTCGGGTCCGGCGGCCCGATTTCAGTCGGAAACCGGTCCCAAAACCCTCTCCCCCGGCGGAATGGACGGCCGGCGCTTTCGCCGGGCCGGGGGAAAAAACGGCTGTGTAAATGAGGCCTTAGGGGAGGAGCTTTTCCTCCCTGGGTAAAAATAGGTGGCAATTTTCCTCCCTTCTTTGGGGGAGCAACGTTCCTCCCTTTCTGAAGGAACATAGAGAACACGGATGTTCCTCCACTAAAAAAAAAAAAAAAGTATTACTCGTTTTTTTATTTTTAGAGTGCGGGCGCATGGCCTCCGAGATTCTAAAACGCGCTCGCTTCGAAATTTCTGAGGCCACGCCCCGCGGTTCCTTGTGCGACGCACGACGCCGGCAGCACATTTCGCAAGAAGCGAAAGTACGAATTTGTCTCCGCGCGATACCTTAAGAGATCCGCCCGGAACTTGCCCCGAACTTGAGCGTCGCCCAGTTGGGGCCCAGAGGCTTCCCCAGCGCGTTCCGGACGCTGACGAAAAGTGTCTTCATACGGTTCCCAGCTCCGCACTTCTATCGAGGATGCGGAGCTCCAGCTTCGACAGACCCAATAAATGTATGTCGGCAAGCACGTTGGACGGCTGAATGAAGCAAGCACGGTGGGCGGCTGAATGGCGCTCATGCGGCTGGAGGGGAAATGGCCATCAACGTAAGCCGCAGCCGTTTGGCCAGTCGCTCGCTTCTACCATTGGCCACCCAAGCCAGGGACGCCATGAAGGAGGTTATATTTTGCTTTCTTTTTTTCGTGCGAAAGCATGAACTGCCTCATGGAGCGAGCCGTCGTCATCAGACTGAAGAGGGGGAAACGCACCTTAAAGCATTTCTCCAAGTAAAGCCAGCTCCCACACACTAAAAAAAAATCAGTTCGAAAAAGAACTTTTAGGAGTTCTTCCGCTTGTCCATATTTTGCACCCTAAAAGGTTCTTTTAAGCACCTTATAAAAAAGTTCTTCATGAAGAACCTTTAAGGAGTTCTTTTAAGTTCTCTTTTCAATGAAACAGTTCTTCGCGAGGAACTTGTAAAAAGTTATTTTCAGCCCTTCTCTCGCTAAAACAGTTCTTGGTGAAGAACCGTTTAACAGTTCTTTTAAGTTCTCTTTTCAATGGAACAGTTCTTCGTGCAGAACGTTTAAAAAGTTCTTTCCAGTTGTTCTGTCGCTGAAACAGTTCTTTTTAGTTCTCTCTCGGATAAAGCGATTTTTCATCAAGTGCCTTTGGAAGGTTCTTATAAGCTCTTTTTTAATTAACCAGTTATGAAGAATCTTTATTGAGTTATTTTAGGGTCTAAGGAAATACGTTCTAAATTACCTTTCAAGGGAACTTTTATGTTGGGTGTGCGAATACCTCCCCGGTTCGAAAAGAAGAGCGATATTTTTAGGTTCAACACTGCAATGAAAGTCATTGTGTACCGTGGACTTCTTGAATCTAGAAATATCGCTGCACTGTTTGAACCGAGGGGTATTCGCACACCCCAACAGTAAAGTTCCCTTGAGAGGTTATTTAGAACTGTTATTTCCTTAGACCCTAAAAAAATTCAATAAAGGTTTTTCATGATTTACTGGTCAATTGGAAGAGCTTATAAGAAGCTTGCAATGGTATTTGATGAAAAACCGTTCCATCCGAGAGAGAACTAAAAAAAACTACCAAGGATTTTATTTTAACCACTACTTGCTCACCCCTAACTTTTAAGTTACTTTTCACCGAGAGAGCTTTCTATTATGAACCTTTTCAATTAAAGTTTTTTGCAAAGACCACTTTCGAGTTAACTTGAATAACTTATTCGCAAAAAGCAACTTGGGCAGCAATTTTAGGTGTACAGTAGCTCTTTTGTAAACCGCTCTTTATTGACTGTCTCGAACTGTTCAAAGAGGCAATATACATCACCTAGACGTTTTGCAAACGTCAACAGACGTGCAAAACAGGCTTTGAACGACAAGGCTCCTTTTCTGGGGCCCTACATCTACTGCAGAACTACTGGCTTGGATGGGTATTCAAGTACACATTCATCGTTGATACTCTTGTCAAGACGAAGTATGAGGTATAGGGAATAAAGGTAGGAGAACAAAAGAGATGCTCTGCAATGTCCAACCTGTCAATGGTGAAATGAAGACAAGATACCGCGGTTCACAAAAAAAAACATACTGACGTTTATTGAACATGACTAGATTGAAACTTAGCACATGAGTAGAATGCTTCTCTGCCTAAAATATAGATCAAATATAACACGGCCTAGTGGAACACTGAAATGGGACACTGAAATTTTGGCCTTGAGAAAATGGAGACAACGTTCTAGATGTCTGATTTCATATATGGCACGTTAGCGAGCTCAGATCTATTATTTGACCACTAACAAAAGAAAACAAAAACTGACTTGGAAAAACTTCAAAACCCTTTCTTGTTGAGGTATACTTTATGGATAAAAATGCTATCTTGGAGACGAGATGGACGAGGCAACCACTCAGGTGTGGAAGCAGGAAAAAGGAAATTGCGGCAAAACAAGACTTCTGGCCCCTTCCTTCTCATGATGCCCCTCTCCAACCACACACTGCGAGGGCGCATGGCACAAACAGGTGTTAAACCCAGACAAAGAGCACAACGGCACTGCAAGTAGGCAGCTGCAAACCAGGCTGTTAGTTGAATTTAGACAGTGCCTAACTCTCTTAGTATACCCTTTTTAGGTTTGAAGTAACTCAAAACCAGACAAAACTGATCCACCATTCAGGCTGTCTATTGCTTTGAAAGTTTAGTGGAAAAGGTGTAAAAATTACCACTTCGGGAATGCAGAGGGCCGGGTACAGCTAAATAACATCAGTGGTGGTCTTGCCAGCGATGTCTACCCTCCTTATTGCCTGTTACGTCTGTGCCATTATTTGAAGTAAGAGCTTCACATCTGTTGCAGCCTTGGAGCATTTAGCAGCCATATTCTCTACGTGGTCTGCACAGTTGTCGGTACCTTCTACGTCATGATGTGGAACCTGAAAAAAAAAAGTCAGTGCCATGCACAGAATATGGGATTTGAAGAACAAAGTTGTGTACCAGACGAACTCCAGCAAGCCTTATTTTATGTTATGTAAAAAATTGTAATTTAAACAGTGGGTGCACGGGTCCAAATAGATCAAGTTATATGCACTCTATATTTTAGCTATAATAAGGCAGTTCAATGCAACAAAAGAGATTTAACCGAGAGACAACCAGAGAGTATTTGATATATCTGACAAGCCATGCAACTGTGACTTTTACAGATTACATTTACAGCAATGTGATTCGTTCAAGTCACTTTGGAGCACCTGTTGCAGTAGTCAGAAGTCCATTTAGGAGTAGCCAAAAGTACGTTTAGGAGCTGCTAAAAGATGTATTGGCATGTAAGCAAAAACTTCGTCTTTATTCTTACCACTGTGAATATTATCATACGGTTAATGTGTTGGCATTCTCAACTAAAACACTATCTACTTTGCCCTCCCACTCCTGTGCAACCTTTTGTTAACATCAATTGCTTGACAAGTTTGATTCTCTCGAACAAAGTACTATCTGCTTAGTTGCACATAGAAGCACCAGACATGGCAACAACAGTCTGAGTGATGATGGATAGTATAAGCTTCTGTGAATAGTAGTTTTAGGTACGGAATCAAAAGTAAAGCAAACAGTACGTACCACTAAAATAAAATAATGTAAAAATAGAAACATTTTGAGTACTCAAAGTGATGTTTTGTTACAGTTCTAAAGGTTATAATAAAAGAAAGATTTCGTCATTTGATTGTGAATATCAATGTCGTATATTTAAGACTTCATAACAAGAATCTGCATGCGAACAATAAATATGCCTTTTAAAAACAATCAAGCCGAATTTGGTAAGGTCATTCCCAAGCTTCTAACCATTCCTCTGGAGGGGCAAATGAAAACTGTATAAAGATTCCTCTCATTTTGGCAAAAGGTAACAGGCTAAGCACTTTGAAGCATATGGTGCAGCAATTACATAACTACATTTAGCTGAATAACTATTTAAGAACAGTTCCCGCTTTCAGGTTAGTTTTATTTCCTTTAACTGTGTCTGAACCAGATTATAACAAACTTACCATGGTCCTTTTTTTATTTTTGAATACAGTCACTGCGCTGGCGTTTTTCCTTTCGCTTTCGTCCACCACCTTTGCCATAGTTTTCCTTGTTTTGCTGAACTTCTGGCAGATGCATAAGAAGCAACCTTTCTTTTTTCATTTTGTTAATAAGGCTGTGCCGCAGTGAATCCTACAGTGAGACTGACGAGTAGCAAGCCTGTTACAATGCAGATAATGAACTTCGATACAAGCCTTTCAATTGTCAGAATGAAAACAAGTTCGTGTAAATCTTACGCAGCGTCCAGTGGAGTCGGCCAAAAAGGGGTATGCCGCTTGGAGGGCACGCATGACATCATCTAGCTAAGACCGACTTCGCGTTCTGGAAAGAAAAAACAACAAATGTTAGCCTCTATTTTAAGATATATAAGTGAGGACTTCAAATGCTGCTGCTTTCGGAGTTTTGCTCAGAATGTCGTCTGCCAACGCAGCGACCAACTTTGTTCGTGCTTCATTTCGCTGTGGTTGAAGGAACAGTTCACTCTTTTCACACAGCCTCTGTAACAGTAGCGAGGGAAATTATGGGAGAGTATATATACCTGTGGCCATACATCCTTGCAACCTCTGTAGACCAAACTGAGGCTGCTGTGTTACTAGCACGAGGCACATTGGAGGGTCCAGGCAAGCTGAAAAATAACAATGTAATTAGTGCATCTCGAATTTCACAAATGGAACGCAAATTTCGAATTGAGTAATGTGCCCCACCTTTCTTTTATGTCTCCTTTTAGCTGTTCAATCAGTTTTAGCAGTTTGACTCGCAGTTTCATAGCAGGGAGCAACTGCTCAATCATCCACACTGACAAGTTTAGTAACGTCTTCCCATCAACCTCTTCTGCATAAAAGGAGATAAAATATTGCACATACAGTTTATATCATACATATATGTTATATATGTTAATGACAGAAGTTATACCATATTTTTCTACCCTTTTATTCCGATAGTGTACACAAATATAGTATAAAGAGAGTGAAGATGGGGGGGGGGGGGGGGGGTGGAGGGGGAAAACCATAAAGCAGTGGCATGCATCACACCCACACTGCTTCCATTTTCTGGTTCCCCAGATCCTCCCTCGACATGTTTACGTCTCATGTGCTTCCTGAAGCTCTCAAATGCAATAAAATATCGTCCAGACGGAGAGTACTCACCCAACTTGCAAACAGAATTAAAGTCCGGGTCACCATGAGCTATCTGGACATGATTTGTCAGATGACTCCCTATGTGGTAGCACTGCGAAAACTTTGAACACTCGTATCCGCTCATGCTGAAATCGCACAAACGACGACAAATCTCACCAATCGCCGAAAGACCCGGAAGCAGTTTGTCGCTCACAAAACATGTCCAAATATCCACACTGCAGTACAAGTTTCATAAAAAAAATATTCGCGTGCACATGGAAGTATGGAAGGATAGCACCATCGAGACCCCGATCAGCCACCGTTACCGGCGTTACCCTCAACTTGGAAACAGAAAACGCGAGACGAAACCGACGCCGCCAACCAACACAAACAAAGAGGACGGAGCATTCTGCTTACCTTCGAATCTCTGGGCGAAGTCTAGAAGGTTTTGCTTTGTCAACCAATCTGACACGTCCTGGAGCTTCCATCTACACACATCTGTATGTTCTCGCACCGTGAACCCATCCATTGCATGCCGCCGACAGAACCAGGTCGAAACGGTAAACAGCGAACCCCGAATTGTTGGCCGCCGTTACTTTCGAATTTACAGAATCGCACGCAGGCAAACGGCGCGGCGCAGCGGCACCACCGGCACTCCTTCGCGCGCAACCGCTTCGAAAACAAAAAATAAAGAAAAAAAAAAACAAAAAAAAACGTTATGAAGAACTTTTTTCCAGGCAAACGTTCTTCATCGCCCGGTCGCCTTTCTGCTGCGCCAGGGGGCGACACTGTTTGAGCGAAAACAGTTCTTCACGAGGAAAAAGAGTTCTTGGGGCGGCGAAGAACCTTTCAAGAACGGATTTTTTTTAGAGTGCAGTTATGAAACCACACGAAAAGCCTAGACGCGGCTCCTAGTTTTCCCGATCCCAAAGAAGCGAAGTAAAGCTGATGTTTTTTCGGCTTCCGTCCCATTGGCTGGCGCGCGTAAACGAGGCTCCTATCGGCCGCTTCGTGTCAGTTTGAACGATCGCCACCCCGATGGCGCTGCGTGTGCGCGAGGCAGCGGCTCCACCGTTCCACGACCAAGGTCCGCGCGCCGTACGCCGCAGACGAAAGAAGGGAGCGAAGAGGGGCATACGTGCTTTCGCATTCACAACTCATAAGAAGTGCCTAGGTGCACCTCGAGCCCTTTTTTTTTCATCTTAATTTGCATGTAACTTTTTAAATAAAGCGAATTTCGAGAAAAGTAAAGTTTCACTAAGTTATTGCATTCAGTGTGCTCAGGTTCTATGCAAATTCAAAACCAGTCAAAATGTCGTTGCAGGGCCCCTTTAAGCGCAAAAATATATTGTCCTAATGTCATGAAAACCGAGCTAAATGTAGATGCGCCTCGTCCACAGCAAGAAGATGTGCAAAAAAAAAACATGGCGGCTCCTAATGGCACGATGATGAAAGCTGAAAAGAATTTTGCAAATCGCCTATAGCTTCGAAATGGAATAACCCCGCCTCAACCCTTTAACACTCGTTTAGAACATGCCAGCAGGAAGCGTCTTCTGAACTTTATTGAGAATGGATACAATGGCAGCTGCGATAATATTTACGCCGTCGGAAAATCCTCTGAAAGAGAGCAGAAAAAACAATACGGTTACGCGTCAGTTTCCATTTGCATATACATGCGTTTTTACTATATTAGCATTTTTCAAGTGCCTTACTTTCCAACTGCGTGGCTTTCTTTTTTTTTTATTTCCATTAAATTTTTATCACTCACAGCCGCAAACGAGAAAAATGCGTTTTCGCAGATCCTCTATTTAGTACTTATTTCGACATTTGTAGGCTAGAATTTGGAGGGACCGTAAACCGCTATTGCCCTTTCACTTCGCGTGCTCTATACAAGCATGCATGGATCGCTATTTATTCAAAAACTTGATTTCACATGTGCCACTTCGAGGCTATTGAAACTTGCTATTTTTACTTAATTCTTTGGAAAACTTTCCTGCGTATAAGGAACGTCACGGGACGTCATAGTGCTGGTTGTTCGCAGCAAAAATGCGGAACTAACTCGTCCTGTTTTCTTTTTTGTTTTGTTTTTTTTAGCTGACAATAGTCTAGCTGTCAGCATGCGCTGCCAACAACGATAAAAAAAATGTGGCGACCTGTGTACTCCTGGTATTTGTGAGAGGTTGCATGAGGTTCTCCAGCTTGGTCACGTCAAATGACTGGACAGATGGTTTGCGTCGGTACTTGGCTAAAGCCCGCCGGGTACAAATAGAATCAACGCCTCCTCAGATGTGGGTTCCATGAAACGCGTCTCCGACCTCTGCGTTTACCACATGCTAAAAAGTGGGCCATCTAATTCCACCTGAAGACGTCACAGAAGTGTCACGTTCTCACCGGCCGCGATCATGGCAGTGGCACAACGACGAAGGTGGGCGCGGCAGACGCCTGTTCCGCCACAGATCGTTTTCCAGTTGAACAGACCGAGGAAGCTTCACCAGCCAGGACTCGGAACTCCGCGACTACAGCGACACTCGCGTACGTTCGTACGTTCTACCGAGACTTGTACCACCAACCGCCAGGATGGCGACATTTGACGATGACACGTCCGCCGCGTAAGCAGCACAGAGTTAGTCAATCATTGGTCAATGGCTGCCAATGGTCCTGTGGCCAGACAGTGGCCATCCATTGGCCGATGACTGGCCTTTCTCTGGCCATTGGCCAGCAGCCATCGTCCAAACGTTAACCGATGAATGCCCAATCTTTGGCCATTAGCCAAAAGACCATCGCCAGCCACTGGCCAATGCTTGGCCAAAATCTGTGCTGCTTGGGCGCCTCCTGTGACGTCATGTGTTGGCACCTGAATTGAATTGAAGTTTATTTTACGTATGAAATGTCGGGGAGGGAGGAGCAAAAGGTTGCCGTAGCTACCTCGAGACCACTTTCGATGTATAGGCTGAATGAGACGCCTTCCAGGCACGCACCATGATAAAAGTAATCTTCCCGGCGAGACTCACCGTGGCACTCCTTGTGACAGGTGGCGTTCGTCAAGAAGTTGTTCTTGTTGCCGCTCTGGCCACAAAAAGTGAATGTCTTGCAGACGCCCTCCTGGACGTTGTAGTACCAACGCTGAGAGCAGGGCCAGCGCCGTCCTCTGTCGGGCTTCAGGGTACACATCTGCGGCCTGTGGTGGAATGTCTGCTTCGATGCTCCTGCAATAAGCAAGCGTGAGCTTCGGTAACCCTAAAGCTGCACTGCTAATACATCGTGACAGGCTGCAGACGGAATCTGAGGTGTGTATATCGGTCCTGTGCCACACAAAAAGAGTCTGCAGACATGTTAGAAGTCTAAGCAAGCATGCTTCGAACATGCGTCTGTACCGATCACCCCGTCTCTTGTATGATGCGTGAGCTGTGCGAGTACGGCTTGACTTCGGCAGAAGGAATCAAATCCTGCCAATTACTGTATATCAATCAAGTGCGCACTGCGGGGCCCGCGTTCACTTTTGGAGGAAGCGCTTTTACGCGGGGCGCCGGTTCTATTTGTTGTTATAGGAGGTTTGGGGGCTAGACGAATCTTATGTTTCTGACGTCACGCCAATGTAGTGACGCTGCCTGTGGCCTATATTTGAGCGTGTGTCCTTCTGCTTGGTTGAGGTCACGCAGTTTATGGGCAGAGTTTACAATATACGCTGCGAGGAGGAGGCGAAAGCGTAGATTTTCCGCAAGCGTCTCTAACCTTTGGTCAGTCTGCCCCCACTGTCCTCCTCGATAAATTCTTAATGGCCACGCACGCAAAGGCGTTGGCATGAGCAAAACGCTTTTCATCATTTGAGTTTCGTTGTTAATTATAAAACTCTCTTGCATATCTAATTTGTATATTCAAAACAATGGGTTTTGAGTTTTTATTAACCATATTCAATTGCATATCTAATGAGTAAATTGAAATTATTCAATATTGAGTTCTAAGTGACAAACCTCAATTGGATATCTAATAAATAAATTAGCCAAATGGATATTTGTTCCTAATGAGCAAATTTAGAAGAGACATTGAGTTCTTAATGATCGAACTATATTGCATTCCCAATGAGTAAATTCAATAAAATATATATTGAGTTTCTTACGATCAGACTCATTAGACGCTTAGTTTATATTGAGTGTGAATTGACCCTATAAGAATACAGGATGGCTCAAATAGCGGCCAGGCTCTTTAAATCGACCTCGAAAATTGATTTCGTAGCCTATCGCGCTACAATTTTCTGCAGCGTTGCCTACAGGTGGCGCATTTTTCTATAAAGTTTGCAAAGAGCGAACTTACTTGAGGAAAGAGTAAAGAAAAAAAAAAGGCTTAGCTTCTATGGAAACGCTGCGAAGCCACCAGTCTTCAAACAATAGGGCACCGCTTCGCACGGGAGACAAGAGATGGCGCGCGCCATTTATTGTGCACCCTGCTAAACGGCGTCGCGACCGCTTGCGCAAGCGGTCGCGACGCCAACTGCCCCCAACGAACAAGCATACGGCGCGAAGAGCCGGCGTTAGGAGACGATCTTTTCGACTCAAAAGCGGCGCGCGTTCCGCAGGCGGCGACAGTCGCAGAAACAAAAACAGGCGCGGTAACAACAAGGAACTGCAAGGCAGACAACATATGTACCCCCCCCCCTAAAAAAAAAAAAAAAAAAAGTAAAAATAGCTTGACAAATTAATTTTTTAATCGATTATTCGTCCATTCATTCTGTTTTAGTAGTAGGGATGATAAAGTCATGCATTGGCAGCTGATATCAAAAAGGATCGCTCAGCTTTTGAGTCGAAAAGATCGTCTGAAAGACGCCGGCTCTCTACGCCGTACGCTCGTTCGTTAACGGCAGTTGGCGTCGCGGCCACTTGCGCCATCTCTTGTCTTCCGTGCCAAACGGCGCCCTAATGCTTGAGGAAGGGCGGCTTCCTTTTTCTTTTTTTACTTTTCCTCCGGTAAGTTCGCTCTTCGCAAATTTTATAGAAAATATGCACCACCTGTGGGCAACGCTGCACAAAATCGTAGCACGATAGGTTAAGAAACCGATTTTTGCGGTCAATTTAAAGAGCATGGCCGCTATTTGAGACACCCTGCACATTAGAAGCTCGATTGAAACTTATTTATTGATTGACTTAAACTTATTGGAAGCGTATGCATTAGGCGACACGCTCCACCAGACACCACCACCTAGACAGAGAGCCGTAGTGCTGATTTTTATGCGTCATCTGCTAAGGGCCGGCGAGGGGTGCACATATTGAACACGAATGCTGAGTCAGCGATCCGCTGAAACACAGCTTTAATCAGTCAGAACTAGGGATGCCGCGAACTGTTTTCGAACCGAAGTTTCGATGATCGATTCAAGCAGTTTCGAGAGGTTCGAATATTTTTAATTTTGAACTTTTTATATCGCAAAATTCGACGGGAGTCGAATTTTCGAACTTGTTAAATTAAGAGGTTCGAGGCTTTTCGAACCGTCGAACTTATTACGCTAAAAAGATCGATCCTTTACGAACTTTCGAACGTTTACGCTGCAAAAGTCGATGCTTGTCGAACTTTCGACTTTATAAACCAAACATTTCGATGATTTTCGAACTTTCGATTTTCTTGCACTAAAATGTGCGAAGCTTTTCGAACTTTCGAGCTTCCTACGCTAAGGAAATCGACAATTTTCGAACTTTTGAACCTATTTATCAAAGGAATTCGATACGTTTCGAGCTTTCGATTCCTGAAAAGCAAAAGGTTCGACGAAATTCGAACTTTTAGGGTAAAAGTTCGACGTTCGTCGAACTTCGAAAGACCGGCGGACGGTTTTATTTGGATTCAAGTAGTGAGGTACATTCGTGAATTTCTTTTCTCAAATTTTTACATGTCGTGCTGCGTTCCTTACGAACGACAATGCTGTTTATTTCAATGTTCTGGCATGCCTAGTTTTAAAGAAATAAATTTCCGAAGGAGCGAGGAAGGACGACGGGTTTTTGACAATTGTCGTTTGTGCCATATAAGTGCGCTATAGCCGCGTATAGCGCTATTTGTGGTACAGATGTTAAACTTTTTAAGAATGATCTATGAATAGCCTAGGTAAGTGTCGTCTTAACATGCGATTATTGTTATTCAAGATGAGTTTCGAAGAAATGTCCAAACATGTATCTACAAGCAATAATGCCCTAAACTTGTTCTTTTTTTTTCGTCTAAGTTGTTTGAGTTATCGCATTTAAATTAACACCACAGACAGTACATATCATTGCCATCTGCAGAAAACGAAATAATGTATTTATTCTTTTTTCACGTTAAGGAATAAATTAACTCATGGGAGAAGATTTCTAATTATGTTTAAGTTGAACATGTCATTAAAAAAAAAACATTTTTTCCCCTTCACGCTCCTGGGACGTGTTTCTTTTAGCCTGTACACATTTTGGTACACTGTTAGCAAGTCCCGTGTATTTGGCGAATATTTGGGGTGAAAAACACGCTATTTATACAAATTACCATAAATTTACACGATGAGTAACGGATAATTCGTTCAGAAATCATGCGAGGTTGTAAAAAACGTGTTTTGGTTCGCTCATACACTCATAACCGTGTAGCCGACCTCGATAACACGCATCGCCCCCGGCGACGACCGCGGCATTGCCGGCTATCGAAGCACCGGAATGCTTGGGGACACACTTAGAAAGGACCGTCGAGACAAATGCCGCGGAAAGACATGTCTCGGCGACAGATATGCACCAAAAGCAATTGCGCCATGTCGCAGGACGTTGGCGAAACCCGCGCTTACCGTTTCTCGCCGCCACCTTCTGGTCGATGGCAATGCGGCTTCCCTCATGTCGCCCATGTTTGTATTTAGTTTAGGGGTCCTGATAACAGTTTCTTAGACACCACAAATAAAGTTATGGGTCTAATTATTCGTTCCAAACAGTTAAAATGGATATAAAAAGCGTGTCCTCGATGAGAACACGTGACATTCCAGTTGGTTTCGTTTTTGCTTCAACCTTCAACTGCAAGCGATCTGGCCACGGCGCAAGCGCAACGCCGATGTACGCTGGAAGCAAGCGCCGGTTGGCTTTCGTTGTTTTTGTTTGACCGGAGAAAATCTGGCAAGTACGCATGGCGCCGCTACTGTTTTGGTTTGACGGGACGCGAGAAGCTTCGCATAGAGCTTCGGAGTTTGCGAGCACATAGTGAAGACGTGACCGGAGAAGTGCCCCTGTGATGTTCCTGGAAGACGGAAAGTAGCATTCGTAATCGGCGTGTGTGCTTTCAAAGCGAAGGGAGTCACAGGGTCCACGAGTTCGCAACCACAAGCCAAGGTTCACGACAGCGCGGCGTTGACTTCGGCGATCTCGTTCTGTTTGGTGCAACCCGGCGATGCGAAAAAGAGCTGAAACATTCGTCGTATGTGGTGCGGTGCTTTGTATTCCGGGTCTGTTTGAACCACGCTTTTAACACGGAGCGCAAATTGTTTGTTGCGTGGTGGAGGTTCAACGGGTACAGTCCCGTCGTCGTCAGCTGATCCGGTCCAGCTGGTCCGGGAGGACGCAGCGAGCGTTTTTAAAAGTAAATCTTCCTTCGTTCCGTTTCAAACTGTGGAAGTATCCCGACACATACCGTGAGTAGGAAGCAGCGGGCGTTTTCAACAAAATTCCGTTGTTTTAATTGAATAATGGACTCCGGATTGTTGTCTTAAATCTGCCGTTTTTTATGCTTCGTGTTGGACTGCGTTTGCATAGCGACGCACACCGCTCGAGTAGATGATTCGGTCCTGCAACGAGTTTGTTGCGCCAATCATGCGGCGTGAATAAATTAGGGCAAGGTTTCCTACCTGCCCACAGATGCATGTACTGAGACCATTTTTTATGTTGTGAACGTAGTGCTCTTTCTTTATTTTTGAAGACGCGTTGGTGCATTTATTATGGTACAATCACTTGAGAGTTGAGAAATTGGAGAGCGAGCAAGCTTTCTCAACTTTGTCTCTTTCTCTCTGGCACTGCCCTGTTTCAGTTTCAGTAGGCATATCTACTAGCAGGTGTGTGAGATATGCGGAATGTGCAACGATTTTGTTATGCCCGTCGTTTGCGACTCTCCATCAAAACGAATAAGATGATCTACTACAAAGGCGCAATCACAAGCCAAGATTTAAGATAGCAGTCGTTTGCTTCGGTGATCCGTGTAGCTGTATTTTACCCTGCTCTCTGCAACA